AGGGAACTCTCATCTTATTAGAGGTTTTTACACTAGTAAAAATATCAGCTCCTATATTATGTCTATTGGGTGATCAGATGTTTCTTCTCCTTTAATGTGCCAAATTCCGTTATCAGTTTAGCTTATGTTAAAACATCTTTGTGCCAGGAGTGGTGGCAAATGCCTGTAATCCCAGGGGCTTGAGGGGCTGAGGCAGGAGGCTCATGAGTTCAAAATCAGCTTCAGCAACTTAGTGAGGCCCTAAGCAATTCAGCAAGACCCTGTCTCTAAGTAAAGTATAAAACAGGGCTGTGGATGTGGCTCGGTGGTTAAGCACCCCTGCGTTCAATCCCTGGTACCAAAAAAAAAAAAAAAATCTTCGTAATACTGGAGAAAACTCAAATGGGTCACATTATATTTGTAATATGCTACTAGATTTTAGTGTGTCAGTATTTTGTTTAGGACTTTTGCATCTACATTCACAAGGAATAATTTTCCTCTCTTGTTCTTTTCACATCTAGATGTATCTTTTTTTTTTTTAAAGAGCTGATTATCTCAAAACAAGCTACATAATTTACCACTCTTATCCTATAGTATGAGGATCTCTGTCTGAATTCTTCTGTTCCTTAATGGATGCCATATATTCTATTTTTAGATTTACAGTACTTTTTGATGTGTGTGAAATCTTTCTTTTCCAAAAATTTCTTAACAATGCTTGTTTATTTTTTTCTTTCACAATCTTGTAAATTTAAGGTAAAGTCAAAAATTTTTAAATTGTGTTTTAAAGTTAGAGGCGAATTAGGATCTCAATGGTTTTAGAAATTTTGAATTTATAAAGGTTTTGTATACACTCACACACACATACTCTCTCTCTCTCTCTCTCTCTCTCTCTCTCTCTCTCCACACACACACACACACACACACACACACACACACACACACACACACACACACACTTTTGGCCTGATTACCCTTCCTTGAATATCAGAAAAGGGGCAAATGGTTTTCTTCATATTAAAGGTTGATAGAACTATAAGGAAAATAGTCTATGAATTACAGTAATTTATACAGATTATAATTTAGATAATTTACAGCCATCAAGTAAAGACTAAAATCTGTGGCTTCAGAGGTCAAAGGACACATTTTTAATTAACAGATAACTGCACCACTGTGGAGAGATGCAAGTTTCCTCATGGGTCCTGGTCAAAGTTAAAAGTGTCGTTGAACAAAGCGCATATTTGGTGTGGGGAGCAGTCCTATCTTCTTGTACTATTTCCTTTATTGATGGCACTGGAGTGGTCAAATCAAGACCAAAATTCACTTACATTTTTAGGAATCTTAAACAGGTAAATGTTTAGCTTCCACATGAATCATTTACCTTCTTTATATAACAACCTTATTTTAGCTTTGTTTATAGGATCAGTATTTAAAACAGCCCCAAAGATCTCTGTAGCCAATAACTACTTTCTATAGGAACAATTAAATGGCTGAGGGTCTGTTGCTAATTGTATCCCATCACTTGAGAAGTTTTATGGAAAATGAAATTCACAAGTTTTACACACACACACACACACACACACGCACACACACACACTCTCTGATCATGCTACCAAGAGGTTTTTGTTTTTTACTTTATTTGTTTTTACTGAGTCTTGTTATTGTGTTAATTTATTTAAAGGTGAAGACAAATTTTTCTGAGTGTGTGGAAGTTTGTAAAGTGAGTATGTTGTTTCCTTCTAGTCCAAACTTAAAATTCAGAAGAGAATAATGAAATATTCTATAAACTTTCAAATAAATATTTAGTAATCACCTGTTTGGGATGATCTATTCTATTCCATAGAATAGTAGAAAATATGGACTCTGCTCTATTCCTACTGCAGGGTCTGAGACTTACCTTTTTTCAAGCTAACAAACTAGCCTGTTCCTTTTTACTGTTAAATTCTCTGGCAGAAGACATGAGACTCCTGGTTCAGAAACAAAGGACTTCATTACTCACAGCAAAAGCAGTAACCAGAGCACTGTGTTGGCTTGTGTCAGTTCCCCCATGTCCCTCCTGTCTCAGGCTGGTGATATAAAGGATGCATCATGGATACCTGCTCAGTGAGTTACATTGTAGGGGAAGAACAATGAGCTTGGGGAAATCTACTGCCTAAAATCTATGCTTTGCCTAGGAGAGTGGTTCCCTTCTTCCTCAAGGTTGTTTGTTGTAAACACAACCTGGGGAAACAAACTGGGTAGAGCATAGTCAAGGTTTTCCATTCTTGACAGGAACTTGAAGCCAGGCCCAGAGTAATGGTGGTGTCTGACATCACAAGGCAATAAACAATAAATGGCGCCGGCATTAAATACAATAATTCAGATAAACCAAACCCCAGCCCACACAAAATTAATATAGGGTTTTGGGTTCTCACTTATTTTTTATGCTATAGATCCCTTCTTATGATTCTGCCTTTGAGCATTGTACTCTTAACTGGTAAAGGGCTTTGATGGGACCTCTCTAATTATTCAAAGAAAAAAAATGTAGGAAAAAGAAAGCCATGTGATGATGGAAATGAATGTAACAGTTTGTCTTCTGAATACCAATATTTTGAGGAAACAAAAGATTCAAAGTTATGAATTTTTAATATTTTTAAATATACAGGCATTTGTCAGTTCTCATGCCTGTCACCTTTCTCCAGTAATTGTGTTATAAATGTCCAGAATCTACTTGGACTGCTGAGAATTTAAAAGAAGTCATCATTTGTAGGTTTCCTTATGTATCTAAAACTTTTTTCCTCTAATTTTTGTTTTCTACGTGATTTCCTTAATTATAATTAGTGTTAATAACTTCAAAAGCAAATATGCAGTATGTTCAGCAGCAAAACTCAATATCAGTGAAAGAGGAACAATATTTTCACGCTTGCCATTTTGATGACTTTGCCAAGGGGTTTCATAGAACATGGATTTCAGGGCTTGTGGAGGATTCTCTGATTAAGCTGTCAAAGAGGTAGAGGTATTGTTGAAGCCAGAAAAGAATTCTAAAGAAACACGCAAACATAATTTTGATGGTATGAAGTTATTTAGAGAAGAAGAAAAGAATTTAAGCATCTGGAGGAAGAGGAAAAGGCAAAAGAAGTATTTTGAAATGTATTTCAAATAAATCACTTTAAGAGACACAAAGTAGTATTTGCCTCAGGATGCATACTCACACAAAAGGTTATGATACGTGTTTCTTTTTTATGAGTAGTTTTATTTGGTTTCAAATGGGAGTATATGAAAAATTAATGTTATTTTGAGAAGAGCATTCATTTTAAGACTGTGGAATGTGTGGTCAATACAGTTGAGATTTCTAGATTAAGGAAAAAAAATATAGGTATTGTTTATATCTTAGCCACATTACATTGACAGGTGTCACTATTTTAGTCATAATTTTTAATTACTCCCTGAGAGATTTAAAATACATATTTAAAAAGAGTTCTATATAATCATTCACTGTTCTCTCTGGTGTATTTTTTATGGTAATAATGGTGATTTCATAGAAAAATCCCCTCTTCTATAGGGTGTTGGTAGAGGACTCAAATCCTCTGAAGTATAATGAATCTGGAGGGGTTGAATGAATAAACGCAGGGAGCATCAAATGCATCAGGAACATGTACAAGGTCAAGGTCATAGACATGACCTCTAATCCACATCTTCAGCTCTAACCACCATTGTCAACTTCTGACTCAAATTTCCAACTATTTACTAAGATATCTGAGGGACAGGCTGCATGACAACTCAGCCTCTTCATGTCCCAAACCACATTGGTTACTCTGGTTTTAGGAATACTTCCCATCAGCCTAGGTGCTGGCATCTCATGTTCCCACCTACCAGAATCACCTCCTATTATCTCTTCTTCCTCATCCCAGTCCCCCTCCACCACTGCCAATGACAAATAAACGTCTATGCCCTGCTGGTTTGGACTTTCAAGTCCCTCTCAGACTATCTACATGTTTCTTCCCTGAACCCTAGTTTCTCTCTCCAGTGGTGTCTCAATGGTCACTTCCAAGTTTTCAGGAGAGTTTCATTCAACAGATGTTAACTGAGCACTGATTATGCTCAGATTCTGTGCTAGACCCTGCAAGGATATCTTTATTATCAATCATTTGTCAAAAGAGGGTGCATCATTTCTTTCCCAACATCACACTCCATGAATTGTACCCTCCAAGATGGAGAACAGGAGGAAGATGTGTGCCCTCATCTTACTTATTCTTAATACTCAAAAGTCCTAGCTAGTGCTATGAGGCAAGAAAAAACAAACAAGAAGAAAGTATTTGATACCATTCCTAGGAAATTATGCTGAGTGAAACAAAGCCAATTCCAAAAGCTTACAGCCATATGATTTCATTTATGAAAATTCTTAAAATTACAAAATTATAAAAACATAAAACAGTCTAGTGGCTGACAGATGTTAGAAACAAGGGATTGAGCAGGCAGCAGGGGGAGGAGTGAGTATATCTACTCTGACTTAATCATTGTTAGATTCCTGGCTGTGATATTGTGCTACAGTTTTCAAGGTGCTACCATAGGGAACACAGGACCTCTCTGTATAGTATTTCTTAAAATTGCATGTGAATCTACAATAATCTCAAGATTATTTTAAAACTTGACATTTTATTAAGCACTCATTGAAACTTGGAGTTGCATGTTGTGATTGATTAAAAAAAACAACACCCACTTCCTTACTTATTGACCATTCCAAGAACTTCTTAGATATTTTACGATCTAATACTTATCAAAATTGCGAAAGAAATTACTTAGTATGAAGAATAATTTGATCAGCATTGTAAAAGAATAAACAAATGTATTATATTTAAGGCCAATTTTGACTATGAAAACACACACACATACACACACACACACACACACACACACACACACACTCACCATGAAGCAAATGGCGCTCAATTTCCACCCTTGTTCTGGACCCAGACAGAAGGGCTAAGGATCTACTGCCTGGGTGGCGAAGATGAGTTGACCTTCTCCTGCATCTTTTCTCGCAGGATCTCCTCTTCAGTGTGTGCGCCCTCAATGTCGTCTCCACCATCGTGTGTGCTTTGGCCACGGCTATGTGCTGCATGCAGATGGTCTCCTCTGACGTCCTGCAGATGGTGAGTGACCCTCTTTCTGCCCAAACCCACCCAAAGTGGTGGACCTGATCCCTTTTCCCACAGCCAGTTTGAGACCAATACAGAAGCAGATGCTTCTGACTGGAAGGGGAGCCTCCTGACCCTAGGAGATTGCCTCATGAAGCTCCCTGGAAGACAGATCATCCGTATGTTTGGTGCCACCGGTGTCTTTATTTAGATGTTGTTGGAGTTCAATATTGGTAGAGTCCCACCATAGCCCTGTCCTAGATGGCCCCTGACATGTGCTCCTGGATAATTTTAGTGAAAGCCTGGCAGCTCTAGAAATCCCCAGGGTCCAAACCTCCAGAGCAAAGCACCTTCCTCACACTTCACAATTCTCTTTTAATACAGGAAGTTCCGAGTTGTCAAGAGATTAGTTCTCAATTGAAAAACTGCTATTCTTTGCTTTTTAAAATTGCTAATTAACCCTGAGCTCATAATCCAGTGGCAGGTCAATGGCCCATCATTTGGCACCTGGGCCAGGGTCTCATAGAAGAATAACTGCTGCTCCCAAGGAACCAATGAGGCCAGAAGCAGGGGTCATACACTTAATTAATACACATTTATAAACACATATTTCATAAATAATGAAGGTTCCTGGTTGTTTCAATGTGGATTAAACAAAGCTCACTGTCCAGTGTGTTACAACTAAATTCAGTACAAGTAAGAGAAATTGATAAGAAGACCTTGTTCCTTGATGCTAACGGTAGGAATCCCACTGCCGATCTCACTCTTTCCCTCCCTGTCTCTTTCTCTTAGTTTATTTTCTGTTACTATAACAGAAGACCCAAGATTCGATAACTTTTTTCCCCAATACCAAGGATTATATCCACACAGCTTTACCGTTGAGCTACACCTCCAGCCCTTTTTATTTATTGATGTTTTTATTTTGAGACAAAGTCTCAGGAAGTTGCACAGGCTGACCTCAAGCTTGCAATATTCCTGCCTTGGCCTCCCAAGTCACTGTGATTAATGGGCATGTGCCACCACACCCAGCAAGAATGGGTAATTTATAAAGAAAAGAGGTTTCTTTAGCTCACAGTTCTGGAGACTGGAGAGCCCAAGATGGAGCAACTCTCTCTGGTTGACTTCCCATGAGGGCTTCCGGGCAAAAGGCAGAAGGGAAGTGGGCACAGAATGAAGACAAAACACAAGAAGAAACCTTGCTTTACAGCAACCCACTCTGGTGGCATCTAATCCCATGAGAGTGAGAACTCACTCCTTCCCCCGCTCCCGGTGGCATTAATTCATTAATGAGAGTTCCCACCCCCCACCAGGCCCCACCTCCCACCCAACATTGCCCATGTTGGGAAATTCAACCTCAACTTGAATTTTGGTGGAGACCCATATTCAAACCACAGTACTGTCTTCCTGTTCCCCAGCTTGCCCCTGGAGAATAACCCTGCCTTCCAGCCAATGTTTCATGCATCTCATCAAAGAACAGGCAAGATGTTCCTGGAGTAGGCTCATGCTGTTGTTTTGCTCATCCACCCTGGGGCATGATCAGTCAATCAAGATATTGGGCAGAGAGCATCATTACCAAGACATTAAAAATCTGCTGGTCCTGATCGTATGCCATGTGCAGCCTCCCCTCCCCGTATATATCCACACAGCTGTCACAGCAGGCTGACCTTTCGGAGAGGTTGCAGTGTTCTGAAAGGTGTCTAATTAAGCAGTTATTCAGCAGAATGAACTTTTGGCCTTGTTCATGGAGGCCTTGTGTTGGCAATTTTCTCCAGTGTGTTGTGTAAAGGAAAGGTTAAGTACCAGGGGGTGTACTCACCTCAGCAGATTTTACTATCGATCTGGAAATATCACACCAATTTGACCAAACTAACAGAACGAAGAGCTATAAATGCTGGGAGTTTGCATTCCCCTAGTTTTAAGCAATAAAATAAAAATAATGCTTTAAATTAGTTTTAAATACACTTTAAAACAACTAAATAAAAGAGATGCATCTTCTAGCTATGAAAACATGTATACTTATATAACAGCAATGTGCAGGGCCATTATATAATTGCAATGTGTGGAGTAGAAGGAGGCCTTGAGTCATGAGTTTAAAGTCAGGCACATCCAGGTCCAAGCACACCTCTTCTCTGAAAACATATGACTCTGGCCATATCACTGAACTTACTTGTAACTTAGTTTTCTCACCTGTGAAATGGACCTAATGGAATACCTGGTGATCACTCAACAATTATAATCTATGCTGATTTTTTTAAGTGCTAGACCCATGGTCTCACTCTTACCAGGCAAGTGCTGTACCAATAAGCTACACTCCCAATCCTGTTGATTTTCAAACTTGGAAGGAACATTAGTTTGTCATTGGGACATCACAACAATGACTGCAAACACTTGTGGATATAAAGTATATACTTTGATATACTTTATACTTTGATATACTTTATCAACTATAAAACACTATGTAAACAAATTATTGTAGCATGACAACTGTTTGAGTAGGTTTTTGGTTGCTAAAATAAAATACTTGAGGGTGGTACTTCATAAAGAAAAGAGACTTCTGTACCTTGCAGTTTTGGTGGCTGAAAGTCCAAACAGCATGGTACCTGCTCTTATGAGGCTGCATTGCATCATGGCAGATGGCATCATGATGGATAGCATCATAGTGGCAGTAGCATATGGGAGAGACTGTGATCACATGATGAGACAGGAAGCCAGAGAGGGACTCAGAAAGCAAGCTTGTTCTTTTATATCAACTTGCTGTCATAAGAACTAGCTGTCTTCAAGAGACTGGCTTTAATCCCTTCCAGAGGCCTTGTCCCCTGAAGCTAAGCACTTTTCCCTGGACCCCACTGCTTTAAAGGTTCCACACCACATTCCAACACTGCTACACTGAGAACCAAGTTCAAAACATGAATACTTGAAAACACTGCAAAAATGTAGCAAGCTCCCATCAGAAACTGGCTGTCTCATCATTAATTATGCTGTGAATTAGTTTGCTTCAAATCCCAGCTTGGAAGTAGAAATAATCAAGCTTCCTACTGGTGAGGTCCTCCTCCTGTGTGACCATGTGCTGTGGGACTACTAAGGCTCTGCTCTGTCAAGACCTGGCCATGCTGCTGAGCTCTAGAGTCACAGCAGAGACTGAGACATGGCGGAGCATGATGTGCACCTGTGGACCAGCACCTGTTGGTGTTTTTTCCTTTGCTTTAAATGAGATTATTTCTGCTCTTCTGTCTTCACAGAGCCACTGAGAAGATGAGTCTGTGGGAAATGGGGGAAAATTGATGCTTTTTGAAAAAGCATGGGGGGCCTCATGGAGGTTGCTTTTGGCATGTGGGTAGGAGGCTGGACCAGGCCGACTCCCCAGTCTGAACCCTCAGAGAAGTAGGGAAGCCTGGAGGAGTCTTGTTATGCCCAGAAGGATGGAACCAGGAACTGAGTTGTGCAAGAGGATGCTTCAGAATCTTTCTTACTTAATTTCAATTGATCAGTTAGTCATTTAATTAAAAATGTAACATATGATCACTGAAACAAGTCCAATAATATAACAAAATATAAAGAAAAGTTAATAATCTCCAGCCCCGTGGAAGGAATCAATGCCAAAACTTCGAAGTGACTCCTTCTGTTTATTCCTTTATTTCTCAAGAGTGTATATAAATGAATAAAAATAATCTTATTTCCCACTTTTGTCCCTCCCTTCCTCCTTTCTGCCTCTTCCATTGTATTGGTACATTATATTTTGTTTATCCATTCATCACTTGGTGCTCAAGTGTTGTTTCCACTTCTTGGCTTTTATGCATAATGCTTATGAAGATCCTTGCATACACTTTTATGTGGACATAATGGGGTTTTTTTCCCCTCTCTTGGGTGTATGTCTAGGAGTAGAATTGCTAGGTCATAATGAAGACTCTGTTTTGAAGAACTACCAAGCTATTTTCTAAAACAACTGCACTATTTTCTACCTAATTGCTAATACTTACCTATCTTTTAGTTATAACCATTCTAGTGGTTGTGAAGTGGTATATCATTATGGTTTTGATTTTCATTTTTCTCGAGATTAATGATGTTGAACATATTTTCATGTGCTTAATGTCTTTTTGTATATCCTTCTTGGAGAAATATTTTTTCAGATCCTTTACCCATTTTAAAAATTGGGCCTGGTGTGGTCGTGCATGCCTGTAATCTCAGCAGCTTGGGAGGCTAAGGTAGGAAGATCACAAGTTCAAAGCCAGCCTTAGCAAAAGTGAGGTGCTAGGCAACTCAGAGAGACCGTATCTCTAAATAAAATACAAAATATGCCTAGGGATATGGCTCAGTGGCCAAGTACCCCTGAGTTCAATCCATCGTATCCCCCCACTAGAAAAAAAAACTAGAATTTTTGTCTTTTTATTATTGACTTGTAAGAATTCTTTATATATTCTTAATATGAGACTCTCATCAGATACATAATTTGCAACATTTTTCTCTTATCCTTTTGGGTTTTTGCTTGATGTTATCCTTTGAAACACAAACATTTTAATTTGGATAAAGTTGAGTCTGCCTATTTTTTCTTTAGTTGCTTGTGCTATTGTTGTCCTATCAAAGAAACCATTGCCTAATGCAACATGGGGAGGATTTATGTCTATGTTTCCTTCTAAGAGTTGCCTAGTTTTAGTTCTTACATTTAGGTCTTGAGACCATTTTTATTTGATTGTTGTATATATTGTAAGGTAGAGATCCAGCTTTGTTCTGTTTCCTGCAATGCTTGTTGAAGTTACAAATATTTCCCTATTGAATTATCTTGGTAACACTGGTGAAAATCCGTTGACCAGACCACAGAGGTATATGTTTTTACATTTGGACTCAGTTCTATTTCATTGATTAATTTGGTCGTGGTTATTGTAGAAAGTTTTCTCTTTCTCTTTCTCTTTCTTTCTTTCTTTCTTTTTTTTCTTTTCTTTTTTCCTTTTTTAAATCTTTTTCAGTATTAAAGATGGACCCCAGGGACAAGCATATGCCAGGCAACTGCTCTACCATGG